GAAAGACTGTGTATATAAGGTCACAGTGAGGACCGTTCTGCTCTGGGGTAGTGAGACTTTGCTCCTTCGGTTTGAAGATCTGAGGCGCCTTCAAGTCTTTGATCATCATTGTCTGCGAAACATTGCTGGTGTCGGATGGCAACAACGTGTCCACAACGATGATGTGCCTAGGCAAGTACTAAGTAGTGGTTATCTTGCTAGTTCCTTAGAACAACAGATAGCACTGAATAAGTTGCGTTGGCTCGGGCACGTGCTACGTATGCCTGGTCACCGCTTACCTAGGAGGTCCTTGTTTAGTCTGCCAAGTGTAGGATGGCGTAAAGATCGAGGAGGACGGACGTGGACTTGGCAGCGGGAAATGAAGTCACTGACGACCAAACTGGATGCCGTTGGTCCGTCTCGCCTTCCGGGCTGGAGTTCACGTGACTCGCATTGTGCTTGGTTCGAGACTTTACAGGACATGGCTTGCAATCGAAACCGGTGGCGCGTCTGCTGCCGTCTCCTAATCGGATTGCCTGTTTAAAGTGTGTTTGGTGCTGAGTTATCTGCGGGATAATGGCTGATTATGACGCGTGGCAGTGAAAGCCGCAAGGAATCTGTCTCGCCGATGCCGCCTTATCCTTACACGGTAGCCAGCTGTTTGTGACGGTATGTTGTCTACACAAGGTGTAGGCGCCTTGACCCTGAATGTTTGCTTAGGGCATTAAGGTTTTCAGTTAAGTCCCTCTTCTATCCCTCTTCTTATTCTTTATTTCATAGGTCCTCATGGTTGTATGGTAGCGAAGCATCAGTTCAAATGACTGATGTACTGCGGTTGATGATGATGATGATGATGATGATGTTGGCATGATGTGCAGAGTCTATTATCCTGATCATCTGCACAGGGTATTGAACTATCAGGTCTAACTAACATATTCTAGTCCGCTTGCTCTACAAAAGTAGTTTGACTATGGCAACTGCACTAATTACCATTGCGAATAACGTCATCATCAACAGCATTACATCTGTTATTTGAACCAATGCTTCGCTGCCATACGACAACGACAACAATAGCGACCTACTAAACGGAAAATATTAAGTGAGAGAGATGGGAGACTTGGTGTAACACCTTAATGCCATAAACAAACACCCAGGGTCAGTGCGCCTACACCTTGTATAGACAACATATCGTCACAAACAGCTGTTTATCGTGCAAAGACGGCATCAGTCAGACAGTTTCCTTACGGTATTCACTGCTCCGTACCTAAACAACCACTACCCCGCAGACTACTCAGCACAAAACACACTTTAACCAGACAATCCTACCAGGAAACGACAGCAAAAGCGCCACTGGTGTCGACTGTGAGTCATGTCCTGTAATGTCTCGAGCCAAGCACAAGGTGAGATAGCACCGTTTGGTCGTCAGCGGCTTCATATCCCGCTGGCAAGTGAACTTTTGTTCACCCTACATCTGGCAGACTTAACATCGTCCTCCTGGGTAAACGGTGACCGGGCATGCGTAGTACGTGCTCAAGCCAACGTTGCTTATTCAGTGCTATCTGTGGTTCTAAGGAACTAGCTTGGTTATCACTGCCTAGTACTCGCCTACGCACATCATCGTTGCGGACATGCTGGTGCCAACCGACACAAGCAATGCTCCGGAGACAGCGATGATCAAGGACTTGAAGGCGCCTCAGATCTTTGGACTAAACGGACCAAGTCTCACTCCCATAGAGTAGGACAATATTCCCTGTAGTCTTGTAAACACGGCACTTCATACCGGTGGAAAGCATCTTCTGCTGCCACAGATGTCATAGATTCAAGACGACAGTTCTGGGTTTTCTACAACGTGAACTGACTTCACGGGTTATGCCCCCATTGTTGCTGATGCAGCCATCAAGGTAAGTTAATTGATCAACTACCAGGACCTCCTCTCTACCAAGAGCCATGGGGCCATCAACCGGCTGGTAGTCCTCCTGTAACCGCAATTTGCAGTTTGAAGGTGCGAAGCGCGTCTTGAATGACGGGGCCACTCTAGAGACGCTATTCAGGGTTGATCCGCAGCCCCAGTATCGTTAAACAGCAAGACGATATCGTCCGCATAATCAATACGAACTAGCATTTCACCACACTGAACTTAACGTCTGCCTGGTAGAATTCCACAAGGGAACATTCCATAATGGAGTCCACGACGGAATTGAGCAAAAATTGGGAAATTGGACACTCCTGCCGAACTCAAGTTGTTGTCAGGAGGATATCCGATGAGTAAACATGGACCCGAACGCAGTCTGTCGTGTTCTAGTATAGCGCACGTAAAATGTTTACATGTTTCATTTTAACACTTTTCCGCGCAAGCATTTCAAATAGGATTCATCGGTCGACTGAATTGAACTCACTCTTGAAATCGAGACACAACTGTTGTCAGTCTGCGTTATGCGTGGCGCTGCTCTACCACCTGCTGCGAAGTGAATATATGCAGCAGGTAAATCCTCATGGGGTAAATCTAATAGCTAACATGCACATTGAGCCTCTTTGCGGTCTCTGGAACTTCTCCATGCTCACCGACATATTATAGCTGGAAGCGAGCACAATAAAACTCGCGGAGAGCTCCGGGCAATACTCCGTACTAGCCTGAAGAGAGACCGCGAATCCTGGTGGTCTCTTCGTACTTCAGAGATGGAAGTGGCTGCTGGCCTTGGTAGACATCGAAAGTTATTCCGTCTGATACGGGAAACGGTCAGCCGGAGATTTGGTGTTGATGAAAAAATTATGACGGGTGTGGACATACTAACCATAACTTGCCAAAACGTTCGGAGCTTTGGGCTGAGTATTTTGAAAAGCAGTTTAATCGACCGGAATTGTTCGATTCCTTACCGGCCGGTGATGACCCTGCTCCCCTGGCTGTCCCTTTGGATTCGCCTCTCGCTCAGAAATGGAACGTGAGGTCGGACTGTTGAAGTTGAACAAGGCCGCGGGACCAGATGATCTGCCTCCAACCCACTTCAAATTCGGCGTTCCTGCTCTTGTTGATGATTTACACGAATTACTAGTGAAACTGTGCGAGCAGGAAATTGTCCCCACCTACTGGAGCCGCTCGGTTACAGTTCGGATCTTTAAAGGAGGGTCGCATTCGGAATGCAGCAACCATAAAGGAATCAGTCTGATCCCCATCGCCACCAAATTACTTGTCTCTTTATCCTCCACAGACTGACTGGCGCTCCTGAAAGCCAGATTCGTGGGAAGCAAGCCAGGTTTCGTTGAGGTCGTGGCTGCTTTGACCAGCTCTTCACTTTGCGTCACTTGATGGAGCACCGTCACACATATCGGCGGCCCACCTTAGTCGTGTTCTTCGATATCAAAGGTGCCTTCGATTCGGTTGTTTGATGTGCCGTTTGGGACCGTCTACTCAGGATAGGTGTGCTCGCGGAATATGTAAATATGATCCGCGCACTATACACACGCAGTACGGGCAGAGTGAGAGCTTACGGCAAGCTGTTGCCCCCCTTCAGTATCTCCAATGGTGTGGGTCAAGAATGCTGGCTGTAAACTTTCCTCTTCAAGTCCGCTATTGACGAACTCATGGAGTTTGCATTCGCAGGACACGACTTAGAAGGCGTGGAGCTACTCACAGGCGAACGACATCTGGTCTTGGAGTATGCGGACGATATTGCCCTCATCTGTGGCAGCTCTCAGACGTGCCAATCTGCACTGCACAGATTAGTATTGGCTGTCAGCCGCATCGGGCTTTGCTTTGCACCATCGAAGTGCAAAGCTTTCATCCAAGATTGGCAGGGATCGCCTTCTGCGCTGACTCTTGGTGGGGATCAGCTGGAAATCGCACAGAAATCCAACTACCTTGGAAGTTGTATCAGCGCCCTTGGGATCGAAGATGAGATCACGAACCGCATAGCAAAAGCTCGAGGTGCTTTTACTAGCCGTTGTCACCTATGGCGCCGGCGCGACGTCACTCTCGCCCTGAAGGGTAGAGTGTACAATGCAGCGGTACGTTCGACCCTACTGTACGGCTGCGAAACCTGGCTCCTTAGGTCAGCGGACATAAAGAGGATAGTTACGTTCGACCACCGGTGCCTTCGTAATTTAGCTCACATCTGGTGTGAACACCGCGTGAGCAACGAGCGTGTTCGACGCCTTGTTTACGGCACAGGAAAAGGAAATGAACCACTCAGCACCGTTATTTCACGCACAAGGCTCCGATGGCTCGGCCACGTGTTACGCATGCCAGCCCACTGACTCCCGCGATGTGCGTTGTTTGCTCACCGGGGGTGTGGATGGAAGAAGAGGAGGGGAGGCCAAGCGATGACTTGGTCGAGAGAAATGAAGGCCCTCACTTCGAAGCTTGTCTCGGTTGAAGCGTCACGGCCCCCTGGTTGGGGTCCGAAAGACGATGAACACGTTTGGTTGGACACATTTGTTGATATGGCTAGGAGCCTGCCTCAGTGGCGTTTCTGCCGTGAATTTCTTTGTCCATTCCCATCCCCTTTAGCCTCCCCTCCAACCACGATCTCATTTTGTACCATACTATAATTTTACAAAATAATTTTTTCGTTGTCTAGTAGCCGACTTGTAGTTTTCCGGAACGATGCCCATCCGTTGTTGATAGCTCAGCTGACATGTGACTGTTGCATTTATGTATTGCGACACAGTAGTTGAGGTGTTTTATACCTCTAGCTAACGTTTATAATGAATGAATGATAGACTATAAAGCCTCGTACTTGGCGAAAGCCTTCCTGCTCTTCCCTATTGCGGGATCCCCGTTTCTCTGTGAGGCGACGAACGAGAATTGAAGGTACTAATTTTGTTACAACTGGCGTCAGACTAATACCACTATAGTTAGCACAATCGGTGCAGAGACTTGTAGGTTCATTCACCTAATCTGTGTCTCTGGTCGATTGCTCAATGGGAGTTTATTTTTGTGTTGTTTTTACATACGTTAGACATCTGTACTACACTTATTGATATTTGGCCTCTTCAATCTTTCTTTTCCCTCTCCCGCATCGCAGGGCGCACTTACAACGAAGCGAAATCCGTCGAAGTTGGCCAAAACACCGGTTTGTGATCCTCATGTGTTTTATTAACGCGTATCGGATAATCCGTTATAATTTTTAATTTTCATTCACTGATTGTATAGCCACCGGCCAACATGACGCGTAAACCAGTCGGTCTTCACTGACTTGTCGACGTCTGATTGCCGGCCAGTGACCGATGTTGCATAGGTCTAATCCCGTCGTTGAGGGAATGTGGGTTGGCACGGGCTTCATATCTTTTCCTGCGGGACATGTCCTGTAAGGCTGCGCGTTATGTGCGTGTTTGTACGCCACCTTCTGGATTACTGGCCTCAAGAGACTGCTACCAACTGTTAGAGGTTCCGCATCGCATGCCCCTTGGTTGGCACTAGACCAAAAGGATGATTTCCTCGTGGAATGGTTTCGAGGCCCAACACCTACTTAATTTTCATGCGTCTGATATTCGTGCTTCTTATTTTCGATTTTATATGAGTGCACATCTAGCAGCTTCTCGTTCCACATCGACGACAAACTAACAGACTGTGTTGTCGTTTCTGTGAAGTACTTACCGCCTATATACCAAGGGTACTATCGTTGTAGCTTTGTTTACTATGTTCGCATACCCATGGGTGTTCTTTGCGTTGAGAATGTTGACTGACGGTCAATCAACCGCGTTGGACCGTTAACCACCCGGGCACTTGTTTACGCCTAACAGGTGCAAACCTGTGATTTATTGTTATCAAAGTGGTGTGCTGTTATGTGGATAAATGTTACAGAACATATTCAGGTACGTTGGTACCTTTTGTTCTTTCCCATTCTCCCTTTGATCCGAGCTATGATGGGGAGGTGAAAAGTTCTCGGCCGAACATAGAAAGAAGCCAACTATACAAGTTATTCTTAGTTACTTTCCAACATAATCCCCCATAACTTGAATACACAGTTTGACGGTGTTCAAGAATTGCTGTCCCTGTGTGGAAGAAGGTTTAGGGTTATCCCTGTAAAATAGTTCCACAGCACCAAGCAACTTGTCATTATTGACAAATTCATGACTCCGGAACAGATAAAACCCTCATGGAGGCAAATTTAGTGAATAAGCGGAGCCTGGTAGCAATACAAAGCCATAGTTGGCTACTTCTGATATGGCTATTTAGCAAGTATAAAAATGTGCGTTATCCTGGAAAAAAGGAACTCCTGCTGTAAGCTCTCCTCTCCGCTTTCTTTGACTGATTATTTCAGATAGCTTAATTCTGTAGCGCAATACTCACCTGTGACTGTCTGATCCCTCAGTAAGAAGTATATCGTGATAACACATTCATCGTCCCAGAAGACAGAGGCCAGTACATTTTCCGCGAACGGTATTTGACGGAACTAATTTTGATGACGGGAACCACTGTTCGCTAAAGTGATGAAACCGCATTTAATCCCGAGGAACAAAACCAATGAAAAATTTCAGAATTTGTCTTGAAACGGGTCAAAATTTGTCTTGTTCAATTTCTAACTGAGTGTCAACATTCTTGACACTCATCTTGCAGTCAGCTTTATCATCCCCACTATGTTCGTTAAAGCAGCCTTCACTAAGTCATAACTGACATCTATAGTCAAATATCTGATAATTAAATATCCTTCTGCCATTCAATATCATTTAACGGATCGCCTCCACATGATCCTTACATGCGTGCGATTTTAAGCTGCCATACCGCGGACCATCTTTAATGTTCGCATTACCCGTCTCCAGCGTTCGCTAGACACGACCTAGAAGGGGTGGAGCTACTTCCTGGTGAGCGACTTCTTGATTTGGAGTATGCGGACGATATTGCCCTAATCTCTGACAGTTCCCAAACATGTCAAACGAGACAGGACCGATTAGCACTGGCTGTCAATCGTTTTGGGTTATGCTTTGCTCCATCGAAACGCAAAGTACTTCTCCAAGATTGGCAGGGACCCAACCCTGCGCTAACGCTTGGTGGTGATCTGCTAGAAGTTGTTCAGGAATTCAAGTACCTGGGCAGCTATATTGGCACCCGTGGGATTGGAGATGAGGTTACGAACCGTATAGCAAAAGCTCGAGGTGCTTTTGCCAATCTCCGCCACCTGTGGCGCAGACGTGACATTACTGTCGCCCTGAAGGGCAGAGTTTACAACGCAGCCGTCCGTTCAACTCTCGCATATGGCTGTGAAACCAACCCATCAGGTCGACAGACATAAAGAGGGTCACCATAATCGATCATAGCTGCCTTCGCAGCTTAGCTCATGTCTGGTGGGAGCACCGCGTGAGCAATGAGCGTGTTCGACGTCGCGTATTTGGTGCAGGAGGAGCGAGCGAACCGCTCAGCACCATTACATCACGCACCAGGCTCCGATGGCTGCGCCACGTGTTGCGCATGCCAGCACACCGACTCCCGCGAGGTGCATTGTTTGCGCTTTGTGGGTGCGGTAGGAAGAGGAGGAGGGGAGGCCAAGTGATAACTTGGTCGAGAGAAATGAAAACCCTCACTTCTAAGTTGGCGTCGGTTGGTGCATCCCGACTGCCTGGCTGGGGTCCTAAGGACGGTGAACACGTTTGGTTGGACACACTTGCTGATATGGATTGGAGCCGGCCGCAATGGCGTTTGTGTTGTGAGTTCCTTTGTCCACCCCCTCCTGTTTAGCATCCCCCTCCAATCACGATCTCACTTGTTAGGCATAATATGACTCTCTTTTACGGCAGCCAGCTGTTAGCTCTCCGGAACGATGTTCATCCGTTACTGGGGACTCAGCTGGCGTGCCACTGTTTGTGTTCCTTTTCTTGTCTTTTGTATTGCGGCACAACAGCTGAGGTGTTTTCCTCCTCCAGCTAACGTGTAATGATGATGACGGTGATGATATTCGCATCCCACTTATTAACATCGGACTACAAAGGTAGTCCGGCATTTCTCTGCGCAGCTGTAGAAGAATGTGTGATTTTTCATTCTGTGTTCACCGCTGTGTTCAGATTCAGTTAGCAGGTCTAGTCGCCAGTGTGTCTACGTAATCTGTCACACGGACCGCGCGACGACGCCGACCGCTCATTTGACCCTGCAACCACCACGCTCGCCTGACCGATGTGTGCAGCCCTCAAAGCTGGAAAAGTACAGAACGCTAACCAACCCACTGCGTCCGGTAAAGACACCACATTGAATGGCAGAAATGCGAATCCGAAAAGGTTCCAACCGAAAGGTTTTTGCGAGTTAGGAGAAGGTCATCGAGTAGTTAACACCGGTCTGGCTTGCTCACACTGTTTGGAATGGTATCATCCGAAATATGCAAACGTGTCCCAACAACAGGTACGAGAGCGAAATAGCTCCCAAGATGCACTTTGGTTCTGTACTGCGTGCTTCATTATCCCACTCGTTAAGTGCTTGCTTATCCTAGCTCAGAAGTGCGACCGGTTAACCGCAGAAGCCAACCAGAGCATAAACGATAAGATTACTTTAATGGAAGTAAGTATGCACCACAGAAGCGTAGCGGCTTCTAAGCAACGGAATGTTGCACAATCTGCTTCCGCTGAACCGCAATCAGCCACGTTCCCATCTCCATCGTTTTCTCCAACTTTGGTAGAACGCCGGGTGAAAACTGACCGTACCTACGAGAGTCAAACAGTACTCACGGCAACGAAAATCAGACGCGACTCGGAACTTCTGGTTAAGCAACTTCGACTAGACCTGGTATTTAGAATCAGCAGGAATGAAGCAGCCGAACACCAACCCTCGGTACTTGTAACTCAAATGTCTCTTGTCGAGACAAAGCCCTCCGGAACATCAGCTACATATGCAGAGGTTGCTGCAAAGGTCAGCCGGGAGACCGCCGTTGCGGCCTCTTTTGTTCTAAACATCGTTAACGCGAATAGAGGGACAAACAGTAAATAATCAACACTTGTCATCAGGTCAGGACAAACGATTAACCCGACTTTGTAGATCAACTAAAAGGGGATCCAACAGTAGTACCCGGACTGTTGTATGCTCAAATGTCCCTGAACCTACCACCATCAACTTGCGGAGTAAGTTATCGGACGACCAAGACCAATGGAACTCGTTGTGCATGCTGATGCGTGTCAAAGCCAAGCCCATAAAGCTATTACGAATTACTCGTCATCCAAACTCGCCACGTTATGGAGAATCCAGAGTAAATAGAATCCTCCACAGACGTAGAAAACGTTTATCTCTCCGCAAGCTCGCTAAAACAAGGATCCTGTGGGATACACATCTATCCTGGTGTCATTTGGAGCGCGCGACAATCAAAAAGAAACGCCGAAGAGGGACACAGCAAGCAAGACCGCCTAAACACAATCTTCATACATGGCGCGTCAGAACATCCTTCCAACGATGTTCAAGCGACCGGAAAGCACGATTTAGAACAGTGGCGGTTCATTCGTGAAACGCTTTCTTTGGGTAATATTGTGGCACTATCGCTCACCAGGATACCTCTCTCATCAAATTATAGAGGATGCGGTCCAACTTGTGGTTCAGTCAGAGCAACAAGCAACGGATGTTTTGGATAGATGGCGGAGAACTCGGAAAAACCTTCTTTCTGAACTTCGGCTAAAGGTCGCAGAAGCTTTGCACAGTTCAAATATTAACCACCTGAAGCAGCAAGCCTATCGACGAATGTACAGAAGCCTAACTTGACTTCTGCTTTAGTTGACTGGCCTAAGTCCAAACGAAGTTTGGAACGCACCTTGGCCGAACCAAGTTTTGGACGTGGTATCATTATCTCATCAAAAATACGAGTAACCGCCGACCTCCCATCTGTCGGCATTCTCCCACACTTGGCCCCTTTAACCCTCTGTGGGATCCTAGATACCGAGAAACTGGCCTGTTTGTATACGAATGCTCAGGGTCTTTTTAGTAAACTAGCCGAACTGAAAGATCGCCAAGCTTCCGGGTCATATGATGTCATTGGTATCACCGAGATGTGGTTGCGCACAGGAATGACGGACGCTGAATTTTCGCTACCGGGCATGTCGCTGATCCGGCACGACAGGCTCACAAAAGGAGGAGGGGTGATCCTGTATTACCGAAGCGACTTAC